AGAGAGAGAGAGAGAGAGAGAGAGAGAGAGAGAGAGAGAGAGAGAGAGAGAGAGAGTACAGGAGAGGGCTGTGCATGGTGAGTGAGTGGCAAGGTAGTACAGGCAGCCACATCATTGGAGAGATACTATAATGTTGTTGTATTCATGTGCGAGGAATGAGCCATTGCGGGGCCCTTATTAGACATGCACATGTTCTGGTCAGAGGCCCCAGCAAACCAAGTGCCCGCTATACGTGAAGGCGGGCCTGAATATTCACTAGAGCACAAAATTAGACATTTGTCATATGCGGGTACTCAGGCTGTTACAGCCCGCCAGTTGGTTGAGCGGACGTGCGCGCCACCCTAAGCTGAGTCGCACAGTTTGGCCCAGGCCGTGGCAGTTGCGCCTGAGCACATACACACATTGCAGGGACGATACATCACGAAGTGGCTACAGGCCTACGCAAAAGCAGCACTGTCGACGTACATACCCCGGGTCCTGTGCAAATGCAGGAAACGGCCCGCATTTGGAGACTCAGGCTGTGTCCAACTGTAAAGGGCCCAGGCCCTCAACTGTAGCACTGGGCCTGGGCGCAGATACTGGGGCCCGGCTGGAAGCTACTGGAAGCTTCCCAGCCAGACCACATGCAGCATAGCAGAGGCTGCCACTTCCATATAGGAAGGAGGGCAGCCAGGGTCTGGCATTCTGGCCCACGCAGGCAATGTGGTCACGCTGCTGCGTTGCTGCACGAGACGCTGCATGCTGCGTTAGCGGCCAGGGTGCGTGCGGGCGCTTGTGAGGTGAAGAGGGGCGCTGCTGGGCAGCGGTGCCCTAGCAGCCATAGCTGGGCTGCTGGGCGCTAGGGGGTAAGAGGGCGATCGGTGGTCTTCAGGAAGGAGGCGAGTGTGGGTGGTCAGGATCTGATGAGGTGAGACGAGATACGTACCTGGTACAGGAAGAGAGGTCGGCTATGGTGCTCATGTCATGTACATTGGTCTTCAAGAGTCAAAGTGAGCCTGTTGCGTGAATGCTGATGTAGGTCGGATAGGCGAGTAGTGTATGCTGGGCGCTGGGCGCCAGACCGACAGGAGCGACTTTGGATACTGTGTTGGTGTGGCCTGAGGGCTTGAACATTGGCTCATTACTTCATTGTATTTCTCTTATTTGGATGGAATCTCGGTGCATCTGTGCTCTCTGCTTGTACACGACTACTTGGACATCTGTGTGATTTCGCAAGTTGGCTGTTGCATACTGTAACGTGCAGACCAGAACAAGAACCGACCTCTCAATACAAAGTACAAGATAACACAGCGGAAGACTTAGATACTAATGATCCGAACAATCAATATTGCAATGC